ATAAGAAGAAGTTTATCAAAAATACAGTTGAGACGAGAGCGCCACCCATTAGAAAAACTGGTCAAGAGACACTACGTGACATTGTAGGTTTGGGCATGCGGAGGATCGTGGACGAAAATGGTGATGCCATTAACTCGGAGATTGTGAAGGATACTTCTTGTGGATGGAGAAAGAAGAGTATATTTTGGGATTTGCCTTATTGGGAGACAAATATGATTCGCCATAATCTCGATGTTATGCATATTGAAAAGAATGTGTTTGAAAATGTGTTCAATACCGTTATGGATGTACAGGGCAAGACAAAAGACAATGCAAAGGCAAGAGAAGACATGAAATTGTTTTGCTCAAGAAAAGAGTTGGAACGTGATCCTCAAACCGGAAAGTACCCTAAGGCTAACTACACATTGGATAAGACGCAGCGCAAAGCATTTCTGGATTGGGTAAAAATGCTAAAATTTCCAGATGGCTATGTTTCAAACTTGGGAAGATGTGTTGATCCAACAAAGCTGAGGATGTTTGGGATGAAAAGTCACGACTGTCATGTGTTCATGCAAAGGTTGTTGCCCATTGGATTCCGAGCATTACTTCCAAAGGTTGTTTGGGAAGCGATTACGGAGTTGAGTAACTACTTCAAGAGGTTAACATCCAAAACTATATCTGTGGAGGATCTTAAAATGTTGGAGGCAGATATCCCAATCATTTTGTGCAAGCTAGAAGCAATTTTTCCTCCTGGGTTTTTTTATAGCATGGAACATCTCCCCATTCATTTACGATACGAGGCACGAGTTGCTGGGCCTGTTCAATACCGGTGGATGTATCCGTTTGAGAGGTACTTTCAAAAGTATTAATTTTAAGTTGCAAAGTTTATTGGGTATATATGTCTAAAGCGTTGAAAATGTTGTAGGTACCTCAATCGCCTTAAAAGAATGGTGAAAAATAAGGCTCGCGTAGAAGGTTCCATAGCCAATGCGTATTTAGTTCGAGAGGCATCGTACTTCTGTTCTCATTACTTTGAAGAACACGTTTACACGCGAGCAAGAAATGTGCCTCGTAATGACCCCGAATCACGAGAAGGTGTTGATGTTACAAATCAAGATATTTTTGACATATTTCAAACTCCAGGACGTGTACAAGGGAAAATGCGTAAGAGGCAACTAACTGCAGAGGAGCTAAAAGCCGCACACCATTACGTACTCTTCAATTGTCCAGAGATTGATCCTTATATTACGTAAGTAGCTAAATTTGCTTATCATCTAATGCAGATATTGGTTTGTAATAGACCCGTAGAGATTTAACAAGTGCATGTCAGGTTGTGCGCAAATGAAATTAAAGAGTCTACACCACAGATTAGTGAAGAATCCCTGTTGAAACGTGTGGAAGAGACGTTCGCAAGTTGGTTTGAAAAACATGTAAAGTTATTTTTTTCTTTCTATGTGTAATATATGTGAGGTAATGCATATGTGCATGACTATTTTCGATTCATCTTCAGGTCAAGAATGATAGGTCTGTCCCGGAAATAATCAGTGATGTGGCCAAGGGTCCCTTATCATTTGCGAAGTCATACCCAATATACTTTGCAAACGGCTACCGCTTCCACACAGTAAAACATGGTTCAAAGCGTGCGGTGTATAATAGTGGGGTCTCTATTAAAGGCGAATATGGCGATTACTTTGGGGTATTAGAGGAGATTCTTGAAATTGAGTATCCAGCTTTGCCACTTAAACGTTGTGTCTTGTTTAAATGTCGATGGTTCGATCCGAGGTTGAATCGTGGGACCCGAGTACACAAGAAGTATGGTTTACTTGAGGTGTTTAAAAAGGGAGAGTTTAACCGATATGAGCCTTTCATTTTTGGGGCACAAGCAAACCAGGTTGTGTATGTGGAATACCCTTGCACGCAAAAGACTAAGAGTGATTGGATTGCAGTGTGCCAAGTTCACCCTAGAGGTAATTGGATTGACACAGAAAATACACTAGAATCAGTAGACAAGGAGCAACAGGAACCTTTTCAAGCAAATGGGACCGAGAGAACCACAATCATGGAAGTGACACAAGACGATGATATCATTACGCTATCACGTGAGGGAGATGCTAATTTTGCCGACGATGATAGTAATGCAGAAGAAGAAGATAAAGAACCAATTTTAAGCTCCGATGACTCCATAGAAGAAGAACAAGACTCAATAGAGAGCGAGTGAAATTAGATTAACAAGTAAACGTGTTTCCAATTCTTTCTAATACTGTTAATGACTGATATATATTTTGCTATATGAAATTTATTTTGTTTTATGAGCTAACTACACAATATTTTTATTTCCGTACAGATAAGTGATAATGAGAACCCCCCTCCCCCCACGAAGACTGATAGAGAGGTGTTGGCACGTTTGAGGAGGTCCGTCATTGGTAGATGAAGAGGCTCTTCTGGCCAGGGATCGAGCACAGCCACTACATCCACAGGCACTCCCTCTATTTCCTCGAGTCCATTCACTGACACACAGGTGTTCCCCTCCACCCCACGTACTACGCCATCTGGCCCTTGTACGTCAGGTATGCACCTCTCCTCTTAGAGACTAATATAGTAAACTTTCCAATGGATAAGCCATTAGAGTGATGTTTCATTTATCAAGAAACTGAAACAATGTCTACGCTTGTTACTAGCTCTTTTTAATGCATGTATTATTGTGTTATTGTGTAAATAGCATCTAGGGTCGGGGAGAGTGCTGAGGATCAGGAGGACGGAGGTGGCGATGATCACGACTCCGAGGACCACGTTGACGATGGACACAGTGGTGGGGCTCGAGATGGCGAGGGTCCCGGTCATCAGCGTCAGTTCGTGTATGTCAATTCGGATGACGAGTAAGTACAGTGTATATTTGAAGATTATGGTATGACATAAAACATTTACAAATACCTAACAATTTTATGTTCACTACTTATATATGTTTGTAGGGTTACAATCACTAGCGCTGGCGCTGGTCTCATCACACCGGCATTCTACGAGAGGACGGACACAACTGGCATGTCGTGGGGCAAAGTCTCAGCGACGACGAAGGAGTTCTACTATCGAGAGTTCAAGGTTTGTTTGGAAAAATTATGTTTCAACTTCTTTTGATCACTAGAAAATTAATATATGTGAATAGAATCTAAATTATTGGCTTTTCTATGATGTCAATGTAGAAAAATGCTAGAGTGGATCCGTCAATCGATGAGGGCAGGCTGAGGAAAGCTTTTCTCAAGAAAGCGGCTGAACAATACGCAAATTTTACGTACAATCAAAGGAACCCAGGTCGATTGAAGAAGAAGAAGATGGACTTGAGGCCATTTGAGCAGTTGAAGAAGGTAAATTAGTAATAGTTTTCATACAAAAGCGTATTGCTATGTACAAGTAATTTTTATGACATATACAAGTATAGGTTTGGGAAGAGGATCCGGAGTTTCTGAAGTTGAGTAAGACTAAGAAGAAGAACAGAAGGAAGGGAAAAGAGGATGGTCCTGCTCTTGGGACGTATTGTGGAGGTTCAGTTCCATTTTTTGAAAATATGAATCGATTGGTAAGATATGTTTTTATAAAATAATAGCTTTGCACTTGTTATTTGATTTGATGGACATTAAATGTAAAATTTAATGGACATGTTTATTGAAACTTGAAGGCTAAGAAAAAAGGGGGGCATGTGTCGTTGGATGAGGTTATCATCCACACAAAGACAAAGAAGCACGACGGCAAGACTTGGGTGGATCCTGAACATGCTGAGCTACAGGTAGTTTCTGTTATACGCAAAACAGTTTGTGTTCATGTTCATAATGTTGGTGCTTTTGTCTTAAAACTTCTAAAGG